GCTTCTATCGTATCTGCCTCCACCATAACCCCCGGCAGCACATTCCAGATTCCTCCCACACTCTGTTAAAAAAAAAAAAGAAAAAAAAAAACTTGGCGCCCATGTCTCCTTTGGACTCTCACCTTAAATGCATGCCTCCTGGTATTAGACATTTCCACTCTGGGAAGATGATTCACACCATCAACCCTATCTATGCATCTCACACATTTATAGACTTCTATCAAGTCTCCCCTCAGCCTCTGCTGCTCCAGAGAAAACAACCTGATATTTTCTAGCCTATCCTTGTAGCTCATACCCTCTAAACCAGACAGCATCCTGGTAAACAAACAGGATGCTGGAAGAACACAGCAAGCCAGGCAGCAACTGGAAGAAAAGAGCAGTCAACATTTTGGGTATAACCCTTCTTCAGAACCCAGAAGGGTAATACCTGAAACGTTGACTGCTCCTTTCCTCCAGATTCTGCCTGGCTTGCTGTGTTCTTTCGGCCTCCTGTTTGTCTACCCGGATTTCAACATCTGCAGTTTTTTTTGTCAGCATCCTGGTAAACCTCCTCTGCACCCTCTCCAAAGCCTCCACATCCTTCCTGTAATATGGCGACCAAAACTGAATGCAATACTCTAAGTGAGGCCTAACCAAAGTCTTATAATAAAACTGCAACATAACATGACATCTCGACTCTTGTACTCAATTCCCCAACCAATAAAGGCAAGCATGCCGTATGCTTTCTTTACCACCCTGTCTACTTGTGCGGCTACTTTCAAGGAGTTATGGACTTGAACCCCAAGATCCCTCTTTATATCAATACTGTTCAGAGTCCTGCCATTAACTGTATATTTTTCCCTAACATTTGAGTTCCAAAAGTACAGCACCTCACAATTACCCAGATTAAACACCATCTGCCATTTCATAGAATCATAGAATCCCCACTGTGTGGAAACAGGCCCTTCGACCCAACAAGTCCACACTGACCCTCAGTGAAGCCCACCAGACCCATCCACCTATAACCCACCTAATCTACACATCCCTGAATACTATGGGCAATTTAGTATGACCAATCCACCTAGCTGCACATTTTTGGACTATGGGAGGAAACCGGAGCACCCAGAGGAAACACACGCAGACACGGGGAGAATGCGCAAACTCCACACAGACAGACACCAGAGGGTGGAATTGAACCCAGGCCCCTGGCGCTGTGAGGCAGCAGTGCTAACCACTGAGCCATCATGCCGCCCCTATTTCTCCACCCATATCTGCAATCTAAATCCCACTATATTCTTTGACAACCTTCTACACTATGCACAATCCACCGATCTTTGTATTGTCTGCAAACTTACTAACCGACCCATCTACATTTTATCCAAGTCACTTATATATATCACAGACAGAAGAGGTCCCAATATGGATTCCTGCGGAACACCACTAGTCACAGACCTCCAGCTAGAAAAACACCCTTCCACCCCTACATTCTTCCTTCTATGGGCAAGCTAATTCTGAATCTAGATGGCCAAGTCACTATGCATGCAATGCATCTTACACTTCTGGATGAGCCTACCATGACGGACCTTGTCAAAAGTCTTACTAAAATCCACTGCTCCACCCTCATCAATCACCTTCATCACCTCCTCAAAAAATTCAGTCAAGTTTGTAGACATGACCCGCCCTGCACAAAGCCATGCTGACTGTCTCTTAATTAGGCCATGCTTTTCCAAATGCACGTAAATCCTATCCCGAAGAATTCCCTCCGATAGCTTCCCAACCATCGATGTGAGGCTCACCAGTCAATAGTTTCCTGGGTCATCCTTATTTCCCTTCTTGAACAGAGGAACAACATTAGCTACTCACCAGTCCTGCAGGACCTCTCTAATGGCTAGCGAGAATACAAAGATCTCGGTCAAGGGCCCAGCAATATCCTCTCTTTCCTCTGTAAATAACCTGGAGTAGATACCATCAGGACCTGGGAGACTTATCTACCTTAACACTCTTCAAGATACCCAACACCATTTCTTTCTGAGTTCTCAAAATGTCCTAGCACATTAACATGCTCCACACAAACCCATATCCTTATCCTGGTGAATACCGACGCAAAGTACTCATTTAGGATCTCGTCCACGTCCTCTGCCTCCAAGTACAAGTTCCCTCCTTTATCCTTCAGTGATCTGACCTTCTCCCTAATTATTCTCTTGTTTTTAATGTATATATAGAATGCCCTGGCACACTCTTTAACCTTACTTGCCTAGGTCATTTCATGGCTCCTCCTTGTTTTCTTAATACCTTGCTCAAGTTCTTTCCCACTTTATATTCTTCACAGGCCCTTTTCAATTTTAGCTGCCTAAATCTTACATATGCTTCATTTTTCTTTTTGACTAAATTCACAACCTCCTTCATTATCCAAGATTCCTTTACCTTGCCATCTCTCCTTCCTCCTGAACTCTGACCACCAGGTCTTTAAACAACTCCCACATGTCAAATGTGGACTTGCCAGCTCCTCCCAATTAACACTCTGTAGCTCCTGCCCAATACTGACGTAATTCTCCCCCCTCCAATTTAGTACCTTCCTGCAAGGTCCTGACTTTTCATTATTCATAGCTACCCTAAGACTTAAAGAGTTGTGATCACTGTTTCCAAAATGCTCTCCCATTGAAAGGTCAGTCACCAGGCCAGAATCATTAGCCAATACTAGATAGTCCTCTAGTTGGACTATCCACATACTGTTTCAAGAAACCCACTGGGATGCACTTAACAAATTCTGCCCTGTCTAAGCCTAGTGCAGCATTTCGAAATATCCAGGGCTTGATACTCTCAGACATTCTCATGTCTTCAGCAACCCTCATACACGAGCCTCAATGGATGACTCAGCACACATTATGATGAACACAATAACTCCTATGCAATTCAATAGACAGGAACTCCATAGTAACCTCTACTCTATCCACTGCGTAGTAAGGCTGCACACACTGTGACTAATATGTCAACTCATCCTTTTTACTGTATAAGGACACCGAATAGTAGGTGCACCACACACCTATTATCCATGAATAATGGAGCAACCTTCAATTGTTGACTGGACAGGAATTCCATGTATTTCAGACTCTTTCACACACAATTGGTATTTCAGCTTGTTTCAGATTTGCAGGCAACATTGAAACAGACTACATCCATGGTTGGAGGACAAGTTTTGGTTGTATTGCTATAACAGGATCTCATGGCAAATATCTTTCCACATTCGTTGCACTACGAAAGCAGGAAGCAAAGCACTGAGGAACTATTTCATAGAAAAACGGGGGAAAATACAATTTTCCTACTCAAAAAGCGCAATCCACAAATTTTATAGTAGCATTCTAAACATACGTTACACATGATATTTATAGAAGGTGTACAGCAGCTTTAGTGCAAAGTGGTAAATGTTTATTTGCTAGGGAGTTAAATGAAATACATTGGTTAGAAAGAAATCCAGCAAGGCCTTACCGGCATTGAGAATACAACTGGTTCATCTTGGAATGCAGTTTCTGGGGCTCACTCACCCATTAAGTGCCTTTCTGGTCAGTCTGGAATTACACCCCTTCCCTCTTTGCTTTGCCCAATATCCCATTCAGTCCAGAAAGCAGCTGCTAGAGAACGTTCCATAAAATGGCTGAGGTAGAACCGAGTAAAAAATGGATCTCACTCGAATGTCTTTCTATCTGGGGCACAATTTATCTTTGTTTATTGTGCGATTGTTAAAAAAAAACATTAAAAGCACATGCCTCAAATATTTACTTTCCCTTTCAAACAGGGATTTTGTCAGGAGGAACCAATGCCCATCAAATGCTGGGATACAGGGTGGAAGTGGCGGATCCCCAAAGTTGGTATGGGGAGGATTTTAAATTGACGATGCAGGTTTGATTGTAGGAATACATAGTACTGAAACTTACTAAGTCACAAGACGAAGTCTAGAAGGTTTAAGGAGGCGACGTACAGTGTAGCAGAATGGGGCAGAAAGGTAGCAGATGCAACTTATTGTAGAAATGTGTGATGTGTTGCATGGAAGGTTAAATACAAAATAAAATATACACATAACAGAAAGCTCTGAATGGACGGGTGGAACAGAGAGAAAAAGGGTGCAATATATGGGCCTGAAAACAGTCACCAGATGGATGATAACTGTACACCCAATGACCGCCTGTCAACCGTGCATCATACGCTCCGCTTTAAGGACCCTTGTCAGCGAGATATGAAGATGGTGAGACTGACACGGACTGCTGGAGATTGATTGTTTGGAAAGGCATTGGAGGCGGCAAATAGAAACATAATGAGGCCCAGAAAAAAAAACAGTGAGTGAATCACACACCTTCTCAGCCCAGAGTTTCTTCTGCAGCAAATGCAATAGAGGCTGTCATACTGAGCCACACCCAGCGATGCTTAACTGAATTGATCACCAGGGAGCCACACATTGATTTAATTATGTAATTCCCTGACAGTGCGAGTACCTGTAGATAAAACCTAAGCAGTGCCTCACAGCACCAGTGACCCGGGGTTGATTCCACCCTTGGGTGACTGTCTGTGTGGAGTTTGCACCCTCTCTCTGAGTCTGCGTGGGTTTCTTCCGGGTGCTCCAGTTTCCTCTTACAATCCAAAAATGCGCAGATTAGGTGGGTTAGCCATCAGAAATGCAGAGATAAGGTTGGGGGGGTGGGGTGTGGGGGGTGGTTCTGGGCGGGAGATTTTTCGCACTCAGTGTGGACTTGATGGGCCACATGGGCCTGCTTCTACACTGTAGGAATTGTACAAGCTGCCTAGTTTTTCTAGATCATAGAAAACAAGGTAAAAAGAGGTTTTGATAAAATTATACAAGACAATGGTTATGTAACAGCTGGCATACCACGGAATCTTTGGATGCTTTAATATAGAAGAAAGATTACTTTCCCCTCTATGTGATGCTGTTCGACAAATGCCAATCTGATAATCCAATAAAATAAAACACAACACCAAACTATAACCAGAGACGTTTCCAAGCTCCCTACCAATTTAGGTAGCCTCTTGCGAGAGAAGACTCGGCGGGGACAGCAGAGGTGTAGATGACCGGAGCACCAGCTCCTCATGTTGAGCCACTCAACGGTTCGAGCTGGTGTGGGACAATCCTCTTTGTGCAGTAGGATGAGCTGCTTGAGAGCTCGCACAGCTGTGTTCTCCAACATGCGCTCCAACTGCAAACAAAGTCACGTACATATTACAGGCACGAACAGTCACATGACACCGAGTCAGTACCACAGAGCACATCCAGAGACACTCCTCTGTGCATAACTGACATTGTCTCCCTTCGCTGGTCACAATACCAGGTTTTGTAGATGCAGCACTTCACTTTCATACTAATCAATTCAGCCAGCCAGGAGTTAAACTGGGAACTAGAAATGATTGCCACCTGGTCTTCCTGAAGTGAACCACACTACTCCAGTCCCTTGCCTCAAAGTTCACAAAAAGCCATACACAAAGTTTCCATGCAAGGAATGCTTCAGGGCCAGAAAAATATAAGCAGCTTTGTGGAATTAACAGTAGGATACCAGTATCGCTCAAGATCACGGCTGACCTGGCTGTGCGGTCTCATCTCTACTTTCCTGTCTGCTCCCCCATAACCATTAACTCCCTTGTCAACAAAACAATAAATCAATTTAACTTGAATACATTTGAACCTCCATCATCTTCTGAGGGAGAGAATTCCACAGACTAACGACATGGGGCGGCACAGTGGCTCAGTGGTTAGCACTGCTGCCTCACTGCACCAAGGACCTGGGTTCAATTCCACCCTCGGGCGACTGTGTGGGGTTTGTACATTCTCCCCGTGTCTGTGTGGTTTCCTCCGGGTGCTCCGGTTTCCTCCCACAGCCCAAAGATGTGCAGGCTAGGTGGGTTAGACAAGGGAAATGCGGGGTTAGACAAGGGAAATGCGGGGTT